TAAATCATGTTGTGTCTTAAGAGACTTTTGCACTCTGACAAGTCACAGTGATAACATTTCTCAAGAATTGATCATAGGTGTTTTGAGGATATTCTTTGTATCCCAGAAATAGGCCCTGGAAATTCTGGGTATTATTATAAGCTGTGCCAACAGATGTTGAACACTATCAACAACCTGCCCTTCAGTCTCTAATTTCTTAAATTTCAAGATGTACTCTTTGTTTGTTTAGGGGTTTTTAGTTGTTGGGTTTTTGTTTTGTTTTGTTTTTTGGTACTGGAAATTGAACCCAAGGACATCCTACCACTGAACTACATCTTACATCCTTTTTATTTTGAGACAGAGCTAGCCTCAAACTTGTGATTCTCTGTCTCAGCCTTGGGAGCTCTTGGAATTGCAGGTGTGCACAAGACCTGGCTTTTTTGTTTTCTTTTGTTTTTTGAGTCAGGGTCTCACTGTGTTTCCCAGCCTGATCCAAATTTCTGGACTTAAGTGATCATCCCACCTCAGCCTCCTGAGTAGCTGGGACTGCAGTTTGGCATCATTGCACACAGTCCAAAATGTACCTTTAACAACCATGCATGCATAGACTTGAATTTGAATGACAATAGTTGTCATTCAAAAGTCTACTTTTGTAGTATCTGCTAGACAAAACTGATTGTTTCTTTTTTTAATAGACATGAACTAATGAGTTTCCAAAATATTTTCAGTTCACTTTTTGATGTCACTGAAATCTGAAATGTAAAAATCTTGAGTTTACCCAAAATATTAGGATATAGTTATCTTTGCAAAAGTTTCTTTATTGTACAAAAGAATTCACAAAATAGATTTCCTTTTAATTGTAGACTTCTTTATTTCCCTTTAAATTATTGGATTTTCAAAAGTTACATAAAACTTCTTTAGTCATCATTTCTGTTGAGAGCATAATAAGTGGTAAGGCCCACCACAGCATTAAAAATTCAATAATGTCTTTTTTTTCCCCCCAATAATTCCTTTTTAAAATAATGAAATTTGTATGCCCCTAGATTTTTACCTTTCATGATACATATATTTATGCTGCTGCTCCATTAGAATGGAGCTTTTCAAGGGCTAGGGTCTTGCCTTTCCTTATTTCCATAATTATTTATGCTATAATCTGACAATAAGAAGCAGCTAGTGACTGTTGTTATTTTCCTAAGATTATGGCCCTAAGCCATAGGATAGGGCACATAAGCTCCCTGATAAGAAGAGTATGAGTTAGGTAGACTGTTATCCAGAGGATTTTAGTGATTGTTCTTAGTCACCACATATCTTGCCTATATAATCGTTAGCTCTTAAAAGTGCCTCCCTTTGGTGGCAGTTTATTATTCTAATAGCATGTTTAACACTGGGTTTTTTGTTGTCCACCCCCTTCTAAATATTAAACTAATCTTGGAATGGTACGTCTGGAAGTGCAATGAAGATTTAGGCAAAGTAAACTTAAGGCAAAAGCCAAGGCAGAATTTTGTCAACAAACTAAAATTCAGTGGTATAAAATGCAGTCTGTATGTATTTGGCAAATCTTCAACCCATGGAATGCATAGAAAACTTCCAAAAGGATTTCTTGTACAAAAAAAAAAAAATGATAACCAGTGATTCAGGGAACTGGGGGGCAATGAGCTCATTTTGTGAAAGCCCTCTGCAATCTTTTAAGGAAAAACAGTTCAAAAATCTAGATTGCCATTGTTTGTGATAGATAAAAGTATTATGATGGGTTGTTTTTTTAAAGAAATTCTGTCACTTCAGTAATAGATATTTCCAACTACTATAAGTACCTCAATAGAAAATTCATTTTATTTGAGAATATAGGAATTTGAGATACATTAATAAATAAAACCAGGGTTGGGATCATGGCTCAGTGGCAGAGCGCTTGCCTCACACATGTGAGGCACTGGGTTCCATCCTCAGCACCATATAAAAATAAACAAAGATATGTATCCATGCATAACTAAAAAAACATTTTAAGTAAATAAAACCAAAGAAATCCTTTTCCCTTTGGAGCTTATGTTCTAATGTAATAATCAGGAAACCCTTTCTGTAAAGAACCAGATAGTAGTATTTTAAACTTTGCATGTGGAATGTTTCAATAAAACTTTATTTACCAAAAGTCATCTGGCTGGATTGGGCCCACAGGTAATAGTTACTCAACCCTTGTTATAGTAAGTGGAAGTAGATTTAATAAGTAAATTAGAGTATATTATGGTAAGCACTTTTGGAAAAAGAGAATATAAATAAAGCAAAGTAATCGAATAGGGAGTATGATGAAGTAGGGATTAGGAGGTTGGGCTTCCTGAGGTCAAGAAGAAGAGGAACCAACTAAAGAGTTTGAAAAATAAGTGGTAAGATAAAAAGCAAGAGATGGTGATGTCCTAGAAGTGAATTGAAGAACCATATGTTAGGAATTAGAGGTGTCATGTTGCTGATAGGCCAAATAAGAGGAAGAGTGAACTTAGACCATTGAATTTAGATATGTGGAGGTTGTGAAACTGCTATGAGCAGTTTTGGTGGAGTGAGTCCAAGAGAGAATTTAAAGGAAGGATACAATTCTTTTGAGGAATTTTTTTTACAAAGGAGCAAAGAAATATATTTAAGGGGTCAAGAAGGGTCAAGAGTTCTTTTATTAAGACAGAAGAAATGGGCTGGGGAAGTGGCTCAAGCGGTAGTGTGCTTGCCTGGCATGCGTGCGGCCTGGGTTCGATCCTCAGCACCACATACAAATATGTTGTGTCTGCCGAAAACTAAAAAATAAAAATTGAAATTTAAAAAAAAACAAAAAAAAAGACAGAAGAAATAACAACAAGTTTGTTTGATGGAAGTAAGCCACTAAAAAGTAGGGGGGAAATGATGTAGAGAGTCAGAAAGAATTGGCTAGAACTGAGACCTGGAAGAATTGGTAAGGTGATGAAATATAGTTTACAAGTGATGGAATTGACCTTCAATAAATGGAATATTGGCAGATGGGCAGATGGGTACATGTGCTGGGGAGTCTCTAGATATTCTTTTGTGGCTTCAATTTTCTGATTTAAAAATTTTCAATAAAGAATTTGAGGAGCTGTGGCTCAGCAGTAACACATTTGCCTGGCATGTGTGAAGCACTGGGATCAATTCTCAGCACCATATATAGATACATAAATAAAATAAAGGTCTATCAATGACTAAAAAATATATATTAAAAAAGGAATTTGAAAGGCCAGTACAGCAGTGCACTCATGTAATACCAGCAACTCTAGAGTCTAAGTCAGATTTGAGGCCCATCTTAGGAACTTAATGAGACTGTGTCAAAATAAAAAATAAATCCAAGTTTGGGATATAGCTCCAGTGGTATAGCACCCCTGGGCTTGATCCTCAATATCAAAAAAAGAAAAAGAATATGGCAGTTGAAATGTAGAGGTGTTATATATGTACACCCATGGTCTTCTAGTATTAGCATTTGAGGGATCTTTGGTAACTCACTAAGATGATTTTTATTGTACTTTCTGAGGGAATTATAAACTTAACCCAGTAAAATTATGTATTTCAAGAATTAAACTATTTTATGAGATTAAATGATGCATGTAATGCCTGTGTGCACCTGGTATTCTGTAAGAGTCACTCAAAAAAATGCTACCTGTTGTTAGTCAGTAGGCACTGAATTAGGTTTACTTTCTCTTTGGTCCCCAAAGATAACCCTATCAAAGTTTTAACATTTTTAAGTTAAAACTTGACAATGATAAATTAATATGCTACATTTAAATCAAAGATCCTTGGACATCTCTCCTAATATTCCTTCACATCATAGTCTATCTCTCTTTTTTTTTTTTTAGTTATACATGGACACAATATCTTTATTTTGTTTATTTATTTTTATGTGGTGCTAAGGATCGAACTCAGGTCTCACATGTGAGAGGCGAGCGCTCTACTGTTGAGCCACAACCCCAGCCCCACATCATAGTCTCTCTTTATACAGTTACAATATCACTGGCTTCTGCAGTCAATGGGGAATCTTGATCAAGGGATCCACAAGATACTTTATTTTTAAATATTGAATTATTTTACCAGATTGTTTTGTTAATTTTTTTTTTGTATGGTGAAGATAACTTCTTTTGTGTATAGTCTCCTTTAGATTTTAAAACCCCCAAAGGTAGGTAGTAACTCTAATACATTTCTAAGAAAATGTCTGAAGTAAGTTTGTATATAGAGGAAATCTTTAATAGATAAAATGATGGACTAAATCAAGAGATTTCCTTTACCTTTGGTTAAGCTTAGCTATCCAATTCTTTGGCCTTGTGTGGAACAAACCTGAGACCTTTCCACTTCTATAAAAAATTCTGGAGCTAAATTATTGACTTAATGGCAGTTAGAAGAATATCTCCAAAATAGTAAGCACATAATAGAAGCATAATTGGCATCTAAAGTTGTTCAAAAGCCATAAAAACCAGCATAGTAATCATAAAAAGAAGCTTTTTCAAGAATAATATTCAACTAAATATAGCATATTGAAAATCAGGTAAAATAAAGTGTGTAGCTACAAGAAAATAGCCTTGGTTACCTTTACACACTGTACCAAGATACACAATGAGGGAAGCCGGAGAAAGTGATGTTCTTACCAAGTACTACAGAATTTAATGGTTGCCAGGAACTATTGGAAAAGAGCAAACTAAAATGGCCCTTTCACTCTGCAGTAGCCAGTGTGATTAAGAAATGGAAGTAAGAGGACTTGTTCTTTCATAAGAAGCAGCTGTATTTGAGGCTCTAATTATAGGTTCAATAACAAAGATAAAAATTTGAACAGGCTATTTCCCAGAATTTAGGAAGTAATATTTGCTATTCATACAAGTGACTGAGAAATGCTAAACTGTTCAAATCTGAGTTTCCACTAAATTTTTAAAACATCAGAATATAAGAGTTCATAAAAGTATTTTAGATCTATAGGAAATATTGAACAAGTCAATTTAAAAATCCACCTTATGTTGAAACTTTTTTTTTTTTTTTTTTTCCTGTTACAGGTCCAGTTGTTTATGTCTTGGATCTTGCAGATAGACTGATCTCAAAAGCTTGTCCATTTGCTGCAGCAGGAATAATGGTTGGCTCTATCTATTGGACAGCTGTGACTTACGGAGCAGTAACAGTGATGCAGGTTTATTATTTTACTTTATTCAGTGATACTACCTTTGATGTGAAGATCTATTAAATATTTTTAATTTATTATTTTGGATAAGTAATGATATGGCTTAAAATAAGAAAAGATATAAAAAGCTATCTAGTGAGAAGTCTTCTATTCCTGTTCTTCATTTGTCCAGGTCCCATCTCATCTCTAGGTAGCCGCTGTTGTTAGTTTCATGTATATTTCTCCAGTTTGACTTTATGTACAAGAAAAAACAAACAGGTTTTTTGTTGTTGTTGCTCTACTCTCCTATCTCTTGAAATATAGCCGTAGCTTTTTCTTCTTCTTCTTCTTTTTCTTTTTTTGGGTGGTTTTGGGGATTGAATTCAGGGCCTCATGAATGCTAGGCAAGCATGTACCACTGAGCTATATCCCCAGCACCTGTAGCCCTTTTTCTTTTTTTGTACAAGAAATTGAATTCAGGGACACTGAGCCACATTTCCAGCTCTTTTTATATTTTATTTAGAAACAGGGTCTCACTAGTTACTGAGGCTGGCTTTGAACTCAGCTGCCTCAGCTTCTTGAGCTGCTGGGATTACAGGTATTTGCTACTTCACTCACTGTAATTGGCTTGGTTGCCCTCCTTTTTTTTTTTTTTTTTTTTTTTTTGGTGGTGGTGCTGGGGATTGAACCCAGGGCCTTGTACATGTAAGGCAAGCACTCTACCAACTGAGCTATAGCCCCAGTCCTCCCCTCTTGGGGGTCTTTTTATATGACTATACAGAAATTTAGTATTCTGTGTATGGAATTACAACAGTTTATTAACCAGTCTCTTATTGATGGACAATTAATTGCTTCCAATCTTATGTTATTATAAACTGCTACAATCAGTAACTTCTGAAGATTAAAGAGTCTTAAAATTTCAAGATTCATTCCCAAGCACTTGATTCTCTTCTTTTTCATCTCTTCCTTAAAGATATTCAGCTATCGTCTTGTTTTACTCTGTGTGTGTGTGTGTGTGTGTGTGTGTGTGTGTGTGTGTGTTTTCAGATCAGCCTTTCATCCTGTTTCTAGTCATGTAATTGCAGCTTAACCTGTCTTCTTCAGTGACCTATTTTGACTTCACACATAACTAAAATCAGACTAGGTTTTTGTTGTTGTTGTTGTTTGTTTGTTTTTGCAGTTAAGTTGGGTTTTTTTTTTAATTTTGTTCTAATTATATACGTACGACAGCAGAATACACTTCAATTCATAGTATACAAATGGAGCACAATTTTTCACTTCTTTGGTTGTACACGAAGTAGAATCACACCATTTCTGCAATCATACTTGTACCTAGGGTAATGATGTCTATTTCATTCCACCGTCTTTTTTTATCCCATGCCCCTTCCCCTCTTCTCCCTCCCATTTGCCCAATCCAAAGTTTCTCCATTCATCCTATGCCACTCCCTCATTATAGATCATCATCCACTTATCAGAGAAAACATTCAGCCTTTGGTATTTTTTGGGATTGACTTATTTTGCTTACTTCTCCAACTCCATCCATTTACCTGCAGATGCCATAATTTTATTCTCTTTTAATGCTGAGTAATATTCCATTGTTTATATATAACACAGTTTCTTTATCCAATCATCTATTGAAGGGCATCTAGGTTGGTTCCACAGTTTAGCTATTGTGAATTGTGGTGCAATAAATATTGATGTGGCTGCGTCACTGCAGTATGATGATTTTAAGTTCTTTGGATATACACCAAGGAGTGGGGTAGCTGGGTCAAATGGTGGTTCTATTCCAAGTTTTCTTTTTTCTTTTTTCTTTGGTACTGGGAATTGAACTCAGGGGTACTCAACCACTAAGTCACAATCCCAGCCCTTTTTTGTATTTTATTTAGAAACAGGGTCTCACAGAGTTACTTTACTAAGTTGCTGAGGCTGGCTTTAAATTCATGAACCTCCTGCCTCAGCCTCCTGAGGCTGGTATTACAGGTGTGCACCACCATGCCCAGCCCATTCCAAGTTTTCTAAGGAGCTTGCACACTGCTTTCCAGATTGGTTGCACCAATTTGCATTCCATCAGCAATACATGAATATACCTTTTCCCCACATTCTTGCCAACACTTATTGTTTATATTCTTGGTAATGGCCATTCTGACTGGAGTGAGATGAAATCTTAGAGTAGTTATGATTTGCATTTCTCTAATTACTAGAGATTTTTCATATGGATTGATTGTATGACTTCTTCTGAGAAGCGTCTGTTCAGTTTCTTAGCCCATTTATTGATTGGGTTTTTTGTTTTGTTTGTTTTTTGTTGTTGTTGTTTGAGTTCTTAAACATCCTGAAGATTAGAGATCATCTATTGTGCATGTGGTAAAAATTGGCTCCCATTCTGTAGGCTCTCTCTTCACCTCATTGTTTCTTTTGCTGATAAGAAGCTTTTCAGTTTGAATTCATCCCATTTATTGATTCTTGATTTTATTTCTTGCGCTTTGGGAGTTTTTTTAAGGAAGTGAGAGCCTAATGATGAAGATTTAGGCCTACTTTTTCTTCTATTAGGCTCAGGGCCTCTGGTCTTATTCCTGGATTCTTGATCCACTTTGAGTTGAGTTTTGGGCATGGTGAGAGATAGGAGTTCAATTTCATTTTGCTGTATATGTATTTCCAGTTTTCCCAGCATCATTTGTTGAATAAGCTATCTTTTCTCCAGTGAATATTTTTGGCACCTTTGTCTAGTACAACATTACCATATTTACATGGGTTTGTCTCTGTGTCCTCTACCTATACCATTGCTCTCCAAGTCTATTTTGGTGCCAATACCATGCTGTTTTTGTTACTATAGTTCTCTAGTAGAGTTTTAAGGTCTGGGATAGTGATGCCACCTGCTTCACTCCTCTTGCTAAGGATTGCCTTGGCTATTCTGGGTCTCTTATTTTTCCAGATGAATTTCATGATTGCTTTTTCTAATTTCTTTCTTTAGTGTTCTGTAGTTTTCATTGTAGAGATCTTTTACCTCTTTTTTTAGGTTGATTCTCAAGTGTTTTATTTTTGAGGCTATTGTAAATGAAGTAGTTTTCCTAATTTCTCTTTCAGAGGATTCCAAACTTGTCTGGAAACCTAAATTTATTCCCAATTATAACTTCTCTTTGATTCCTACTGTCTTTCCATTCTGGGTTTATATCCTACAATCTTAGATTGCCTTTGCTCTTCCTACTTGATGGCCCCCTATCCAATCCACTAACCAAGTCTAAGTAGTTTTTCTGTTTTGATAGGCCTTGGCCTTGCTTCTATAGCTTTCTTTCTATAATCTTTACCACCTGGCTTTTTGTCATTCCTTCATCATACCTAGATGGCTAAAGGACCCTCTTGATTGATTTCTCTGACTTCATTCTTTTCTATCCATCCTTCCAAATGAATCTTTTTAAAGTACCTTCAACTTCAACAGCTTACTCCCCAGTATTTGTTTTTGGGGATTTTAGGTTTTGGTTTTGGTTTTTTGGGGAGGTGGGGTTTGATGCTGGGAATTGAACCCAGCGCCACTTTACCACAGAGCTACATTTCCAAATCTTTTTTTTTCCTCCTGGAGACAGGATTTCAATAAGTTGCTCAGGGCCTTGCTGAGGCTGGCCTTGAACTTCTGATCCTTCTGCTGAGCTCAGCCTCCCAAATTGCTGAGATTAAAGGCCTGCACCAACACATCTAGTTGATTAAGTATTTCATAGGTAACCCAGTAGTAGTTAACACACTTGGATTTGTAAATGATGTAATTTGCTTTTCTATAATATAGAGAGTGCATGGCAACAAAAGGAACAGAGTTATATCTAATATTCTAAAAGTTGCATTGACCTATGAATAGTAAGCAGTCTTTATGATTGTTCCATTAATAATCATGGTGAAATAAAGTATTATGAGGCTTCTTCATAAAATGTTGATGGCATCCCAAAAATCTAGATATAGTCACTGGAATGAATCACAAATAGTAAAACATCTTTTGTCATGATTATAATCAATAAAAGTTGAGGGCTGGGGATGTGGCTCAAGCGGTAGCGTGCTCACCTGATTCTCAGCATCACATACAAACAAAGTTGTTGTATCCGCCAAAAACTAAAAAATAAATATTAAAATTCTCTCTCTCTCTCTCTCTCTCTCTCTCTCTCTCTCTCTCTCTCTCAAAAAAAAAAAAAAAAGTTGAGATTCACTGACTTGGGAAAAAATGCAGAGTCCTCCACAGTCATACGTCATCCTACTTTGAAGCCTATTGACCTGTGTCCTCCACTCCATCCTTTTTTTTTTTTTTTTTTTAATATTTATTTTTTAGTTTTCAGCAAACACAACATCTTTGTTTGTATGTGCTGCTGAGGATCGAACCCCGGGCCACACGCATACCAGGCGAGCACACTACTGCTTGAGCACATCCCCAGCCCTCCATCCTTATTTTGTCTAGTTTACCTCTGTATTTTGGCTTATGTCATCTTCTCTGCCTACTGCCTGCCTTTCCAGTCTTTTCTCCACTTACCCAAATCTAAACTTTCCTTATAGGCTTAGCTACTCTTTCTCCATGAAGCTTACCAGCTACTTACTACCTATTGTAATTTATTCCTCTGCATTCATGATATTTCTCAAATTGCAGTTTTGTGACAAAGAAACTGTTATTTCTAATTTACTAGCTTAGAGATTTTACTTGTCCAGTGCTATATAGCAAGAAAGAAGCATTAGGACTCCTATCTCTTAATCTGAACACAGACAGCTGAAGCAGTTCATCCTGGAACAGAGGAACCTTAACATCCAGCCTAGTTTCTACTTTTGGAACTTAATTTTATTTCTTCTTCTTCTTCTTCTTTTTTTTTTTTTTTAATTATGTTGCTACTGCTGTTTTGTTTTTGTTTTTTGAATCAGGATCTCATTATATGGCCCAGGCTGATTGAACTCCCAAGTGGCTGGGCTTATAGGCATGTGCCACTGTGCCCTGGGCCTTGCACATGGGCAGCACATGTTCTACCACTGAACTATACCCAAGTCCCAAGAAGTGAGTTTTTAGCCATCTCTCAAAGACAACCAGTCCTACACCTTCTCTTGACTGTGCTTACCTCCTAGAAGGAATAGCAGGAATACAGATGTTCTTTGAAGACAGATAGGACCTAGAATCTTATCCCAGTCCTATATCCCACTCCAACAAAATCAAAAGAGAAATAGAAGCAAACACCAAGCCCCCGCTCCTCCACTGAAATGTAATCAGCCATTTTTAATTTCAGTGTAATATGAAATAGCATGGACTTTGTTTTTTCCTTGAATAAAGAAATTTCTTATTAAAAAAATCCAGACCAATAGCTTTCCAGTTTATTTTAAATATTTATTTCTATATCTTTTGAAATTAAGTATTTCCTATAAAGTGAACTAAACTCAAACATGCAGCACTTCATTTGATAAGAAAACGATTCTAACAAATGTTAACTATTTCATAGGTCGTAGGCCATAAAGAAGGGCTGGATGTTATGGAGAGAGCTGATCCTTTATTTCTTTTAATTGGACTTCCTACTATTCCTGTCATGCTGATATTAGGCAAGATGATTCGCTGGGAGGATTATGTGCTTAGACTATGGCGCAAATACTCAAATAAACTACAAATTTTGAACAGTATATTTCCAGGTAAGGTCCTGAATTTTGATTATAAGATTTTCTGTCAAACTGACCTTATAAAAGAACATAACATTTTAGAGAAATGTTTGAAGATTTTTTGTAGCTATTCTGAAGTATTAGCACTAATATACTGCATCTTTTCTATAGGAATTGGTTGTCCTGTTCCCCGAATTCCAGCCGAAGCTAATCCTTTAGCAGATCATGTCTCTGCTACCCGAATTTTGTGTGGAGCCCTTGTCTTTCCTACTATTGCGACAATAGTTGGTAAACTGATGTTCAGTAGTGTTAACTCTAATTTACAAAGGACAATCTTGGTAAGATGGCTTTAATGCTTGTTACTTTTTCAAGTGACATACAAAAGACAATTAACTATATTTGCTTTTAAAGAGGAGAGGGTATACAAATATTGGATTCATGGCTCCTATGCCTTAAGCTTCACACTGTCATCCACTAGCTTGAGTGGAATAAAAAAGGGAAGAGGGCTGGGGATATAGCTCAACTGGTAGAGTGCTTCCCCTGCATGCACAAGGCCCTGGATTCGATCCCCAGCACCACCACCAAAAAAAAAAAAAAAAAGAAAAAGCCACTATAGTAGTTCTGGCTTTCTAGAACTATTCTGAAAGTAAATTACAGAATATGGATGAATCATTATCCATCCCATTTGCCAACTGGATTATGGTAAAGAGCTTCTGCTGTAGGGTCAAAATGCCTGGTTTAATGCTTTTTCTTTCCTTTTTTTTTTTTATTTTTTGTTTTTTGTTTTTGTACTGAGGTTTGAACCTACAGTTGCTTTATCACTGAGCAGTCCCTAGCCATAGTCTTTTTTATTTTTTATTTTGGGACAGGGTCTCAACCAAGTTGAATTGCGCTGCTAAATTGCTGAGGCTGACCTTGAACTTTTGATGCCTCCCAAGTCACTGGGATTACCGGCATGTGCCACTGTGCCCTATCCTGATTTAAATCCTAACCCAGAAATAGCCTTGCTATGAAACATAAACCAAATTTCTTGATTTCTCTGTGCCTGTAGAATGGGTGGCTATCTTGGAATAATTATAAAGATTAAATCAGATAAATACTGGCACATAGTAAGCTCTCCTTTTATTTACTGTCTTTTTGGAGATAGGGGAGGACTCAGATCAACCCCAGATTTTAAACATGCTATGCAAGCACTCTACCACTGCGCCAAACCTCAAGCCCCTTGCTTTCATTACTATTATTCCATTTTCCCCCTCTGTTACTTTGCACATAGTGCCTTGACATTCTTCCTACTATATCAGAATGGATGTAGAACTAAGTGGAAGGAAAATTACTCAGGTAGGATAATGGGGAAGGCATTTCCATATTCTGTTACTTATAATGTCTACCTCTCTCAATCCCTATTAGAAAAGATAACCATTCACTTGCAGTCACCTGATTTAGGTTAGCATAAAAGCCTATGTCTTTGGTGATCTAAATAAAATTCTTTTTACTGTCTAGATCTACATTATAAAAAGCTAATTTTCCTTTTTATTCTAGGGTGGAATTGCTTTTGTTGCCATAAAAGGAGCATTTAAGGTTTACTTCAAACAGCAGCAATATTTACGTCAGGCACACCGCAAAATTCTAAATTATCCAGAGCAAGAAGAAGCATAAAACTGTGACTTCTGTTTGTTCTGCAGTCCTCTCATCCTTATGAGTCTGTTGTGTCGTTTTGATTCCATCATTAATGCACTAGTGGAGACTTGTTATAAGCTGCTGCTCCTATATTTTTAAGAAATATAATAAAGCACTTAGGGCAGGGGAAATCCTCTCAGTAATCACGGAACCTAAGGATGTGATTCGTTTTCATGGTTTTGTATGTACTTCTTTTGTGGCAGTCATCTAAACCATTATCTTAGCATGGTAAACCTGAGTTTGTTCATATTTTCTCCAGATATGTAAAGATCAAACTGTACAAATATTAAAAATGCACATGCTGTTTTATTCTAATGCCTCTTTTGTACATGTTCATGTTCAGTGTCTTCTTAGAATCAGCAACTTAATGAAGGTACTATGAGGATTTTTCTCACCGACATAATTTGATTACTTGCGAAACAGGAACACATGTTAATTTGAGAAAATGTAAATTAGTTATGAATAAATAACAAACCAAAAATGTATGTAAACATCAAATAATTATCTGAACAAATGAAATTTTGTTGTGTTTTCCTTAACTCATGTGATGTCCTCCAAATGTGTAGGGTAAAAGTTCACAGGGCTTCCAGATCACTTTTTCACTATTAAATTTTATTTATACAATGTTGACATCTCATAATTCATAATGTAATTTTGACTCATATAGTCTTGATTATAGTGTGTATATATTTGTGTGTGTCTGTGTGAGAGAGGATGTGTGTGTGTGAGAGAGAGATCAGATCCTTTGATCTCTGGAGTAAGATTTTTAAATCCATATTTGTAGAAATTAGAGCTGCCAGTTTATAGTAGTTTAAACAGAATGATTTGCAGAAAAATGAAAACAAAAAAGTCAAAATTTTTTTATTCTCCTCTTTCATTGATTCAGATATTTGTTGATCACCTTATATTTACCCCAGGCACTATACAGAGTGCTATTGGATACAGTGGTGAACAAGAGAGTTGGTCCTAGCTCTTAGAGTGTTTATAATTTAGTCAGCAGATAGAAAAACAGCAGTGAGTATACCAAGGTGAGGCCTTGAACTCTTTGCTTTAATATCAGTCAATGAGGAGATAATTACGAAAACAAGTCCTGAGTAAATATTGAGGTCACTGTTTTTGACTCTGTCAGTTTATTATAGAAAACCAATACTAATGTTTTTAGATTTTAATTGCTTGTCATATTTGAGGCTAGCACCTTAATAATCATTGTTTAAGTAGTTTTGTGTTCACTTTTCAAAAGTAATTATTTATTTTAAGTCATTTTCAATAGAGTGGCCATCTTAATGTCCAGCAATCTGAATGGTCTTTCAATTATTTTCACTAGCTAAAATTAATTTTTAAAGGTAGTTATAAAAACCCTATTTATTTATTATTATTTTGTTCACAGTATCTAATGCATGATAATAGTAAATGTTTCTTACTGATAAGTGGCCACTTCCTTTAGGAGTATAGCATATATAGGTTGAGCTATGTTAGATTGTAATAATGTTTGTTAATTTTAGTAATTAAAGACTGGTATCATTCTGTAGTATAAATGTCTTAATTTTGAGTTGTATGGCATTTATGTGAATGGATGTTGAATGTTAAAAGTTGTAATTATTTGGGGAGGAAAGAAGAGTGAGTGAGTGAGTCTTATTAAGAACACTGCTACCATTCTGAAGGGGAAATATAAAATCTATGACTATAGAATCTATGACTATAAAATCTTAGGTTATATAGCTGTAATTATAAAATATATTGGCTTTTCTTTAATTTTCAATATGAAAAGATATATTAAATAGACATTTCCTGCATAGTTTTGTTATACAGAACAGCTTCTAGGCAGCATTTACTAATGTTACGCAAGCACACAGTTCCCCATTTATTCCTTTAATGCCCAAGATGGAGAATAACTTCTTGGGTTTATTGGCATCAAGGCCCTGGAGGGCCAGAGAAGCAACAACTATAATCCTTTGAGGGCAGGAGGGAGGCGTTTCTAAGGCTATGCAGAAGGAACTACAAGTGCCTGGGGACCAGAGTGACCTCTAGACCTGGAATGGAACACTTACAGAGCCTTAGCTTAAGAAATACCATGTGCCAGTTGTTCCAGGAAGGTGGCCTGCCCTGCTATGAAGCTACAAAGAACGTAGGCAAACTGAAAGTTGGATGGACCCGAGTTCAGATCCTAATTCAGCTTTTCATAACTGCATATGACCTTTGCCAGGTAACTTAACTTTTCTTCCCCACAGTTCTCTTCATACTGAAATGCAGATAATACTTAGAAGACTATCTGCAATTAACTGAGAAGGGAACAGAGGCACTTTGAGCACAAAATACCCCCTAAGGAGTAGTTTCTTAATTGCTATTGTTTTTACACTCTAGGAAAAGAGAATGAAGAGGTAAAGGAAAGGCAGCAGAGTACAAATTCAAGAGATGATGTAGCCTTTTGAGATGGATGGGTATATTTTGTTTTCTAGTTTATTTTCATATTACTTTTTTGTTATTTCCAGAAACTTATGTTTTAAACCTCTTTTATAAAATTCAACAACTATTAGAAATCTATTCTTTGCAGAAGTTATCTCCATTTAAGTGGCTGAAAATATTGTTCATTACATGATTATCAAATGACTATGAAGAATATAAAATTAAACTTAGTGACTTAGTCACTGCCTTGCTAATTCTGCTGTAATTTTTTCAAATGTCTTGTTTTTAATATAATATAGCGGACTATCTCAATACTGGCTGGATTAAGTTGAATAAAGAATTTTTATGTTCTCTAGGTGTTCTTTGTCTGTTGAACAAATCCCAGAACTATTCATTAATTCTGTACCTGCCTATGTAATTGTTTTTAAATTTGTTACCAGAATTATAGTGAGACTTCTCAATATAAAAATAATCTGCAATTTAAAAAGTATAAAGGCATTTGTCTTAATTTTTGGTAATCAGGCTAGCCTAAATTCCAAGTGAGTTCTAGTGATTAACATATGTTCCTCCTTTCCTCAGAGCCTCTTGAACTGAATATGATTAGATAAGTAACTAGGCAAGGATTGTGGTGGTCTTGTACCATGGAATTTTACAAAGTAGTCAAGTGAGTTGGAAACACAAAGTGCTTCCTCTGACATACTGAGAACTTAAGTTTCTAAAATAGAATCTTCTGGAATGACTAAGTCAAATAAAGGCTACAGGGATTGATTGCATTGGATCTAAGAAATTTTGTTACCTCTCTCTGAGAGGCTAACAGGGAAATGGCCTGAGGTTGAAAGGTACTAGATGCATGTTCTAGCTGATAATAGAGGTTTGTTCATCGCTTTCGTTGATTCTCTGAAATAAAAATTTGCTGTTTCTCTGCTGTCACTTCTCCCCATGTTCATCAGAAATGCAAAAAGTGATGGACTAATCTTATTTAATCAACTAGGCAAAAAGGAAGGGAGGAAGGGTTTGTAGCTGAATACCTATAGAAGCCTTGTGTACACGTAACAGACCATCTGGTCAACCCATGTAGCTTCAAGCATTTTATTGGTAAGAGCATGCCCAGGCAACATAAACTACTCTAGCAGATGTTTGTTGGCCACTTTTACATCCTAGGAGCTATGTTAAATCCTGGAGTAGAATAGTGAATAAGCCTGCTTTGAGAGGGTTTTTTTTTTTTTTTAAACCATTTTAAAGCATACAGTTCAGTCCCTGATACTGAAGTCCTTGTAATCTGTTGCTGCTATAACAGAATACCTGAGATTGAGTAACTTCATTACGATAGAAATTTGTCAGACTCTGGAATCGGAAATCCAAGATTATGGGGCTGACAGATTAGGTGTCCGGTGAGAGCTGCTTTCTGCTTCCAAGATGGCACCATGTTGCTGCATCCTCCTAAAATACAAAAGCAAATAAGCCAGGTGTGGTGGCACATGTCTGTAATCTCAGTGGCTTCAGGAGACTGAGGCAGGGGGATAGCCAGTTCACAGAGGCAGCCTCAACAATTTAGTCAGGCCATAAGCAATTTAGGGAGAACCTGTCTCTAAATAAAAAATACATAAAAGAGCTGGGGATATGGTTCAGTGACTAAACACCCCTACGTTCAATCCTTGGCAAACAAAATAATAGGTATTCTGAAAGGCAGAAAGGGGCAAATGTTCCCTTGTACTCTTTTGTAAGGTCTCTAATCCATTCTGTAAGGTCTCTAATCCATTCATAAGGGCTCTGCCCTCATGACTCCATCACATTCTGAAGGACCCACCTCTTAATGTTATCACACTGTTAAGTTTCAACATAGGAATTTTGGAAAGACTGTATAGCAGAAATATACTGGTATTTTCATGGAGTTGTGCAACCATTGCCAACAATACCAGAATGTTTCCAGCACCTCAGAAAGAAACCTCATATCTAGCAGCAGTCTGAGTTTACCCCTCTTCCTGTCCCTGCCAACCACTTATCAACTTTCCATCTGCATTAACCTATTCGGGATATAAATGAAATCATATGATATGTGGCCATTTGTGTCTGGCTACCTTTCTTAGCTTTCATGGTTCATCTATGTTGTAGTATGTACCAGTACTTCATTTTTTTATAGTTGAATAATATCCAATGTGGCATGAACATACCACATTTTACTTATTCATTCATTAGTTGATGGAATTTGAGGGGGTATTCTCTTTTGAACCTACTTCAATCATACTTTTACCCTTATACTTCACCAGAACTGTTTTAATCAAAATCATCAACTATCTCATTGCTAAATCCAAAGGTCAATTCCTGGTCTTCACCTTACTTGAGATATATTAAACATTTGACCCAGTCAGCTCCACCATTCTTTTTTTTTTTTTTAAGTATATTATTTTTTTAATTTTATTTTTTAGTTTTTAGGTTGGCATAATATATTTTATATTTATGTGGTGCTGAGGATTGAACCCAGTGCCTCATGCATGCTAGCCTAGCGCTCTAACACTGAGCCACAACCCCAGCCCCTAGCTCCACCATTCTTGAAACCATTTCTTCACTGACTTCTCTTCCTCAGTGGCTGCTACTTCTCAGTATCCTTTGTTGGATCTTCTTCATCTCTTAACCCGTAAGTATTGAAGAATCCAAGGGCTCAGTGCTTAGCTCTATCTTCTTGTTCTACACTGCCTAGGTGAACTCATCTATAGATATTTTAGATAGATAGATAGATATAGATCTATAAAGAGTGACATTTCAGATTTATCCCAAGCTGTGTAGAGAGTCCCTGGAGAGTGAGAAGTTACATGAGGAGAGCAAAGGATTGGAGGAGGAAAGGAAGAGGGAGAGGAAGAAAAAGGAGCACCTTTTTGTGAGTGAGCCCCCAATTAATGCCATATTGATCAGAGACCACCTGACTAAGTTCTTCCTGAGTTCCTTACCCACAAAATCTCCAGCAAAACAAAAAGGGGTACTTTGTTATGCAACAATAGATAACTGAGAAGCCTAGTGATAACAATTAGTCACTGGCATGAGGCATCTAAAAAGGTTAACCTCAGGTATTCCCCATCATCACCATGGTTCTGGTGACTGAACTCTGGGGTGTTCTACTGAGCTACATCCCCAAAATTTTTTTTTAATTTGTTTTTAGTTGTTGATGGACCTTTATTTTATTTGCTTATTTATATGTGGTGCTGGGAATGGAACCTAGTGCCTCACATGTACAAGGCAGGCGCTCTGCCATCGAGCTACTACTCCAGCCCCATCCCCAATCTTTTAAAAAATGTTTTGAGACAGGGTCTCACTTAATTGCCAATGCTGGCCTTGAACTTGCAATCCTTCTGCCTTAGCCTCTCAAGTTGCTGGGGTTACAGATGAGTACCACCATGCCTGGCAACCTTAAGTATTTCTGATTCAATTGTCAAGGGCATCCCTATGGTGACGGAAGCATGAGTATGGCTCAGCCTGAAGTTAAAATACTTTGGAACTCTGCTGTTCCTCTTACTCTGATACCATGTCCACCAGGCACCTCAGATTTTCAGAGACCATTCCCTAGGAGACACTGCCTGTATCTTGTATGTTTCATCCTGGTCTTGCTGGCAACCATGGTGAATTAGTAAAATGATCTCTTTGCCTTTCCTGAAATTTGAAAGGTGAGAATGTGCTGATTATGAGCCACGAGGATACTAGACTGTCCTTATGCCTGCAAAAGAGCTGTAGTTATCACTGTAACTTAATAAGTGGGCATTCTGAAACCTCCCATTTTATGGGAAATCTTTATTTAGTTCCTCTTCAAGGACTGCGGAGAGCAAGAGAGCATTCAGAGCAGAAGGCCAGCTTCAACTGCTCTTTGCTGAGAGGACTCCTCTGAGGACCAGATCTGTGTACTTGTCTTCTGTTGACTTCTTTACTCTTCGTTATCCCTCATTTAGCCGATGAGAACATGGTGGTTGAGTGCCTCTGTTCTATTTCATTTGTTCATTCTGCAAGGCTATAATAACCACCACATAGCTCTGATGTTAAATTGGGTGTCATTCTTTTTTCACTGAGTTTTAATTACGTAGAGTAAATACAAATCCTTAAAGGATAACAACTCAGTGGATTTTCATACATATATACTTCTGTGTGACTACCATCTATACCACTTAGAAATTTCCATCTCCCTAGAAAGAGCAGTTCTCTCTCCCTCCCCCCACCTCTCTCTTCCCAGTCAATATATCCCCCAGAGGCAACCCTCTCCTAACATGTACCTACCGAGTTTTTAACATTAGCCATTCTGGTGGGAGTAGAGTAGCATTTCACTATATGATGTAATTCTTAACAAAGGTTGTTGAGGTTGCAGCTAATGTGCTGCCTCTGTCCACAGACTGCTAAAAGGAGGCAAGTAGCAAGGGTTTCATGACTGACTGAATAAATCAAGCAGCTGTGATTTTTGTATTTTGACAGTGATAATTCAAGTTGAAACTATTTTCTCACTTGCAAATATGAAAACATCTACTGATATACATCTAACTAAAATCCTGAGATAATATATTAAAATCAGAAAAGATTAGCATTTAGAACAAATATTCCATTTCATTGAGTCCACGGATAATTACTGTGGGTGATCCTGTGCTACCTTGATAAAGAAGATGTGGCTTCTGCCCTTGTGGAGTTTGAACTACTTTTATAAGAAGTCATTTACTTGTGAATACAATCAATCACTAGTTTAATTTACCAACTTGAGATTTCTGAAAGGCTTTAAGCTTTTCTGTACCCTGCTATGGGTCCAGATTTGATTAGTTGTTTACCTCAGTGTGAAATTTATGTCAATTAATGGTTCTTTCTGTTCCCTCTTGTGTTAATTACTCAAAAACACGACTTCTAGCTCTTCTACAGAAATTTCCATGTTGGCTGTCCATTTTGAATTCCCATGAGTGCTTTATTATTTTCTGAATTTTACATACATATATATATATAGCAGTAGCAACCTGTCCTTATCCTTCTATTATGTCATTTTGTCATTTGTGCTGCCTGATTTCTTTGCTTCAAGTGCTTGGTAATCCTTGGCTGTCCTTTCATATTTAAGAATAATGCACTAAGCCAGGCATGGTGGCACACACCTATAATCTCAGCGATTTGGAAGGCTGAAATAGTAGGATCATGAGTTAAAGCCTGCCTCAGTAAAAGCGAGGTGCTAATCAACTCAGTGAGACCCTGTCTCCAAATAAAATACAAAATAGGGCTGGGGATTTGGCTCAGTGGTCAAGTGCCCCTGAGTTCAATCCAAGATACCCACCCCCCCAAAAAAGAGTAAAGCACTAAAAAGGTGACTGGGGGCTCTATAGGGATGAGACACTGTCAATTGGTGGG